TGGACTTCTGAGCGTATCATTGCGACATGTTCAGTGTTTTAGCTACATCTGTAACGGCCTGTCTCCACAGGCAAGGATTTTTGCATACCAATTGTCATTTTTATTGCCTGATATAAATTTTATCAGAGGCAATACTTGTGCGTGGGCATATTTTATCTTAATAAAAGCATTAGTAAGATGGCTATTTTTGCCAGTTTTGATCTTTTAAAAAATTTAGGAAATTTGCTATTTCACATCCAAGTGCATAATAACAAATATTTTAATAGATAACAGCTCAATTTTTACTTTTCTATTAAAATATAGTATGTAAATAATGTTGCCGTCACGCAGTTATCGCGCAAATGAAAATGTAGCTGTGAAAGTTCCAAATTGCTGGCAATANAATTTTATCAGAGGCAATACTTGTGCGTGGGCATATTTTATCTTGATAAAAGCATTAGTAAGACGGCTATTTTTGCCGGTTTTGATCTTTTAAAAAATTTAGGAAATTTGCTATTTCACATCCAAGTGCATAATAACAAATATTTTAATAGATAACAGCACAATTTTTACTTTTCTATTAAAATATATGTAAATAATGTTGCCGTCACGCAGCTATCGCGCAAATGAAAATGTAGCTGTGAAAGTTCCAAATTGCTGGCAATAATTATCAAGATAAAAGCTCTGATAATTATACAGGGCAACACTGATTTTGGTGCGCCAAATGCTAAAGCTGTTATTGATAAACATTTTTGTGCTGATTACGAAACCGTAAGTATAAAGTTTACATCAGATTTCGAGATAAGCGAGGTGAAAGTCTCAAAAAATCGCATTTTTGCAATATTTGAAGAGCTCTAGCAAAGAGAAAAAAGGTGATATAACTTTCAGTTCTCCATTGGCAAAATATTGCCTGATAACATTATCAAGATAAAAAGTTTTGCCTGCGGAGACAGCAACTAATAGATGGTCTGGGATTTAGCTTAAAAATACATGCCACTTCATTGACCTTTTTCTCTGACGTAAATCCTTTTTTCCCCGACTGTAATAACAATGGTAGAAAGAGTTCGCTCGTATACGGATTTTATTAATCTTTGAGGTTTTACAACGTACTTAGTTATAATATAAAATAATCGATAATCTTAAANGAATCGCATGTTTGCAATATTTGAAGAGCTCTAGCAAAGAGAAAAAAGGTGATAGAAACTTCCGTTCTCCATTGGCAAAATATTGCCTGATAACATTATCAAGATAAAAAGTTTTGCCTGCGGAGACAGCAACTAATAGATGGTCTGGGATTTTGCTTAAAAATACATGCCACTTCATTGACCTTTTTCTCTGAAGTAAATCCTTTTTCCCCAGACTGTAATAATAATGGTAGAAAGAGTTCGCTCGTATACGGAATTTATTAATCTTTTAGGTTTTACAACGTACTTAGTTATAATATAAAATAATCGATAATCTTAAAAACCAGTACACAGTAAGGGTTGTTTACACACTTCTACACAACCATTACTATTAAGGTTGCTGTCACACGTTACATCGAACATTTCCAACTTTTTTTTTCGTAGTTAAACGTTCATTAACATAGGTCGATTTAGGAACTTCAATGATTTCGCGATATTACTGCGAAGAAAGAAAAACTGGGGTTTTCTCTTTTTTTGCTCAGAATTAATTTGCGTACTTTTTTTAGTGAGCTTTTGTATAGCTCATTTTGACACTGTTCACAAATTTCATAAAACAAGTGTTGAAGTAATTTGAAGTATTGAATTAACCAACTGCACACAAATTTTTTCAGTTGTGCGAAAAAATCTACTGAATAAGCAAAAAGTATTTGACATTTGGACTCACAGAACTGATCAGGCAACTATTTGCTGTTGTCAGATAAGAATTTGTGTACTTCATCTCTCAGTTCTAATCAAAACAAAAAGGGAACGGAACAAACCGACTGGCTCTCACTTGTAACGGAATATTTTCTGGCCGTCTGTAATTGAATAAATAACGGTGGTATTTACGATGCTTATAATATTTCAATGCGTACTTTCAGGCGGAATGGTTTGAAAGGCATTGGGATAATTTTTTTGCGAATATGTTGTGAGGAGCAGGGTGCTTGCCTGTTATTCTCGTATATGAGAGACATATATATATTAGACTTTTTTGTCGTTTAGCGGACCACTTTGGGTATTTCTAGGGTTGAGAATCACTGATCTAACGCATACGTTCCATACAAACTCCCCGAAACGATTTGGCGAATTTTGGTCTGGATAAATAAAAAGCCCAGCAAGGCTTTCAAAATAGTAAACCCAAGCGCACAAATAATTTTAGATAAATATAACATACATACAAACCAGGGCTGAGGGTTCTATCCGGATAATCCGGTTATTGAAATATTCGAATATCTGTATAAATAATCCGAATATATGGATAACAAAATGAACGAATACCGACCGGATATCCGGATTTACGAAACTAAAAATAGCAGAAAAAACTACAATTATTTTTGTAGTATTTACTTTGCAACTCAATAGATTCACTAATTTTGAAAACAATTTTACGAATCCGCTGTTCAGAATATCCCGATAAGCAAGTGAGCGGATTTGAACCGAATATCCGAAAATCTGGATTTTATCCGCATGCACGAATATCCTAACGGATATCCGAATATACGGATAGTCCCAGCCCTACAACAAACGTAATTACTCATAAGGAAAATATGTACATACATACAAACATATGTATGCACAAAAGATGTTTTCGACTTGGTAGCACGAACTGATGCATGATTTTTACCAAAATATTAAATAATCCCAAAAATCAGTACGTTCTTGCTTTACATCGCTAAATGCAAGCCGTTCAGAAAATGCAAGCAATGCCAGCCGTTTTGGCTTCGCTTCTCTTGTATGAATGCATTATGTACATATATATACATAGATACATACATATATGTCCGTCACGTTAGCTGACCCACTTCTCCAAAAACTGATAAAAATTATTCAGGAATTAGGTACTACTTAGGTGTTATTTAGGGCCTCCAAAATTTATTTAAGTACTCACTCGGTTTCGCAGAAAATCGCAAAATTGTATGGGTCAGCCAGCGTGACGTCACGCCAGCTGACCCACCCACTAAATATCGTCGAACTCTGGTAAATATTATTCAGGAATTAGATGCTATTTAGGTGTTTTTAAGGGCTACCAAAATTAATTTCGGTGCACACTCGGTTTCCAAAATATCCGAAAAATAGTACCTAATTCTTGAATAATATTTACCAGTGTTCGACGAAAATTAGTGGGTGGGTCAGCTGGTGTGACGTCATGCGGGCTGACCCATAAAATTTTGCGATTTTCTGGGAAACCGAGTGAGTACTTAAATAAATTTTGGAGGCCCTAAATAACACCTAAATAGTACCTAATTCCTGAATAATTTTTATCAGTTTTTGGAGAAGTGGGTCAGCTAGCGTGATGGACGTCATATACATATATGTATATATGTCTATAGCTTCCCTGCAGGAAATGTATCTAACTGTAAGCTAACTTTAAGTTGATTAGGAAGGAGCTAAAAGTCACTTATTATCTGTATATTTTCTTTGATGAAAACTAACTATATTTCAATGGCGATAGCCGCGAAATAGTCAAGGCTGGTTTACCTCTGCAACTAACTTGTAACTAACTACTTTTGGACATAAAATGTCAATAGGAAAAACAAAATATTTTTTTTATTTATTTTATTTATCTTTTTTTTATTTACTTTATCTATTTTATTACATTTCATATTTGTTTCCATATTCTGCCGTAGGTGGTCCCATATTCGGACTACGGCAGACATAACTTCAAAATGATAATATGATATTTCGATCTTCCTTTTATTTGACCTCAATCTCGAGCTTAACTCCTGAATTATTTGTCAACTAGTTTCAACTTAGCTTTTCGTAGCTAACTACAAGTTATATATTTTATAGAAAGCC